CCATCTAGAGAAGGGACAGAATACGACCCCCCAGATATTGCAATGAATGAGATCAAAGATTTTAGATGATTTTGTCTCACTATTGGGAAAGGGCAGTTTGTGTTGTTTGGCTAAGGGGCAAATTGAGCAATGCAAATGCTTATTAAGAGTAATATTTGGAACAACTCTATGTATGGAAGATAATTTTGAGATAGGTAAATGCCCTAAACAGCAATGCCAGACATCAATCTTGTTTTGAATAGCAACATTGTCAATAGAATTACAAACAATAGATGCAGAATTATTACATTTCAAATGTGAACTGATATTGGAAGAAACAACAGGAATGGAAGAGACATTGATGACTAATCATTGCACTGATACTCAAACTGTTGAAGGTTGTAAAGCCCATTCTCAAGCCTGTCTACCCCAATCACCCTCCATGTTGAAAGATCCTGAATAAAACAATGATTACGAATGAATATGATGAAGCAATTGTGGTGAAGTATCAATTTGCTAGCAGAGATCAAGTTGAATTGAAAAGATGGTACAACTAAAACATTCGTCAATATCAGATCATTAAACAACTTCATTGTCCCAATATGTGTAGCTGTGGCAATGGAACCATCTGGTAGTCTCACAGAGGCATTAATTTTTGCATTCATAGTAATCGGGTGTTTGATAGAGCAAACCATATGCTCTGAACCGCCTGTGTCCAATATCCATTTTTATGCAGCTATGGAATCATTAAGACACATACGATTACCTGAGAAAGCAAAGGCTTCCGGTACTTGAGGTGATGATGAAATCACTTGCTGTTGACTACCAGTAGATATTTGTTCCTTTAGATGTGGGGCAAGCATGGCTAAGATCTGTTGACATGCTCTGGAGTGATGGTAAGGTTTGATAAGGGATTCACAACATCAGATTTAGAATTGTGAGATGCTGAACCAACTGCATTAGCAACTGGATCCTTTCTTTTTGCTAGCCTGTGACCAGGAGGATAGACAATTATTTTGTAGCATTTGCTCCTAAGGTGTCCAATCATTCTACAGTAATTGCATATAGGCTTCTCCTTCTTCTGTGATGGATTAAATGAGTAAGCCCTTTGATTGGTAAATGAGTTTGGAATCATTCTACCAGCAAAGGCAGCAGCATCAAAATTCTGCTGTTTCTTAGCAACTACTTCCTTCTGTCTTTCATCTTGTAAAATTAGAGCAAAAACTTTATTGATTGGAGGAAGTGGATCCATCAGTAAGATCTGACTCCTAGCGTTCGAAAATTGATCATCTAATCCCATCAAAAAGTGCATGACCTGATCCTCAGATTTGTAATCAACCTTATTAACACTAGGTCTATAGTTTTCAAGTTCTTCCCAAAGTCCTTTCAATCTATTGAAATATGAATTTACAGAACTGTTTGTCTAAGAAATAGAAGCAATTTGCTTCTTAATTTCATATATTCTCGGGCCATTACCTTGGCTATATCGATCTTTCAACTCGATCTAGATCTGTCTTGTTGAGTCTTTGTGCATCACACTTGGATATAATTCTTTTGGAATTGAATTAATAATCCATGAAGAAACCACATGGTTACATCTCCTCCAAGCACGATAAAGACATCCTCCTGAGGCGGTTCTACAATTGATCCATCAATAAACCCCTCCTTGTTCTTCACACTCAGCGCCATGATGACGCACGGCTCCATGTCCTGTAATTATCCTCAGCGAGCGTGACCAAAATGAGCTG